TGTTGGTTGGGTTAGGGAGGAGGCCGCTTTGGCTATTCCTACTGTTCATAAGCACTCTAGGCTTAGTAAGAGGTGGAGGCGAGCGCATGCTTAATCGCAGGCTCAATCATTGTCTTCGTCAGGAATTTCGGACTCGTCAGTTGGGAGGCCTAGTGAGATTTAGGTTTCAAGTCAGTTGCAGAGTAGAAAGTCTCCTATTTGTTTAAATTGTGGTCATTTGGGGCATGTTAGATGTTTCTGCCCTTTGCGTGTGAATACTTCTAGTGTTTTAGAACCTAGTTGGACTCAGTCTCTTCAGTCCAGTCAAGGATGGTTTTGATACCAGACTCGTGTAGGTCAGGCTTCGAGAGCTTCGTGAGGGTCTACTTTTCAGCTAACACAGTGGTATTACCCTAGAGTGGGACTTTTGTATTAGAGGCCGATGATTCAATATGTGAATCTTTTGTTGTTGACCGGTGTACTGTTGGGTGTTGATACACCATGATTATGTGTTGTATACGCATATGTATTATTGTTTGTTTACTCTTATGTATTGGGCACACGCAGTGAATCTCGAACTCTTTTTTATACATTTAACGAGAAGTGGTTCATGGATTGATAATCTTAACAGTGTGGTATACGTGTTACTGTCTTATGAGATGGTTATGTGATGGCCTGTGAGCCTTGTTTTGTTTGGGAGTTAGCTGTTGAGAACGGGTAACCCGTGGATTGGTGTAGTTAATGGTGTTGTGCAATGAGAATGAATTATAAGGCTTGAATGTGTTGAGTATAGAGGAAGGTGAGATTTGGTTTTTGGGGTAGTGAGGATGGTACTTGTGAGTGTGGTTTAGTGTTTTGGCTTGTTGGTCAATGAGTTTGTTGTGATCCTATAGATCTTGGCTCGTTGGAAGAGATTATGAGACAAAGATGAGAACAAAGAACGTGTTTGAAAGAGAAGCATGGGAATAGAGTTAGCTGGGTTTGCTCAAATTGTATCTCATAGACAATTGTAATATTTGACTTTTGAACTCTTCCACAATTTACGTGGACGACTCATGTCCACACAATCAACAAAGAATAATCAGTGTGTTTGGTTTCAATTTTTTGGAAATTGAATTTTTTATTTTTCGTATTTTTTTATTTTATTTTTAGTGAATATATTTAAAATTTTAAGCAATTTTTTTACTTTTCTAGATATACCTTATGTAGATGTATCTAAAAAATAAAATATTTGTAAAAAAATATTTTAAAAAATAATAAATACACAAGAATATGAAAAATATACTGAATTCTCGTATTTTTATTTTGTATTTTTGGTATTTAGTGAATTTTCTAAAGATTTTTTTTCACAAATATTATATTTTTTAATTATATTTTTGCTAGGTGTATCTAAAAATTTTTAAAAAAATTGCTTAGAATATTAAAAAATCAACCAAAAAAATATGAAAAATAAAAAAATTTAATTTTCTGAAAAGTGAATTCTAAAAATCCAAACCAAACAAGTTAAATGTTTTTATGATGGACTTGAATTTACCAAACAATCCAACATCTCATGAAACAAAGCGAAGTGTTATAGAGAAAACTAAGGGGACAAAACAGGGGGAAAAAAAAAAGAACCATGGTTTTCACGTTTCAATTTGACTTCTTCACATATCAATATCTCATGAAGACTACAAAATGGTCCAAAAGTGGCAAAGTAAACAACAAAATATGAGGGCAAAAATGGGCCCAAAAAAAGAGAGCCATCAATTGTAACAATTACAACTCCCTCTCATATATAAGGTACTAGGGTATGCCCGTGCCTGAAGGCACGATGACCATTAATATATGAAAATATAATTGAATATAAAATTATTGAGTTAAAATGTAATTTATTTAATTTGTTGGGAAAAAAAATTTGAGGTGAAAATATAAATAGATGATCCGTATGGTTTTGAATTTTCAAATGAATTTTATAATTAGATTTAAAAAAAAAAACAATACAAAAAAAATCAGACGAAATATGCCAGCCAATGCTATATAAAAATCTATATAAAAAAAATCAGACGAAATACGCCAGCCAATGCTATGCAATAGAAAAAAATAAACAACAAATTAAGCACACCAGCCAATGCTCTGCAATACAAAAAAAAAATGCCAAATAACAAATTAAACACACCAGCCAGTGCTCTGCAATACAAAAAATGTCAAATAACAAACTAAGCACACCAGCCAATGTTATGTAATACAAAGAAAATGCAACACCCTTCCTGATAAAAAGATAACCAAATAAAAATATGATTAGTTTTGTTTAACCTAATTCAAGATCATATTAGGAAGAAAAAACAAAAAAAACATATATCACCTAGTGTGTTACATTTACAAAAACAAACTCATAGCATAAATCAATAATTCAAATGAATATTATCTAACATACATCTAAATTTAGTTATAAATTTCACATAGATAAAAGGCTTTACAAAACTATTGTAAGTAATAAATTTCACATCGATTGGAAACTTTACAAAATATGGATCGTAGCAAGCATATGTACGCTTTTCACAAAAATAAATATGAGATTCAAACTTGTTCTTTCTTAGAAATCCTAGGAGCACCTCATCACTTTACAAAAAGTCCTCGTATCAACTTGTATGTATCCCCAGTGAGGAGCATGCACGACAATCTACTAATTTACGAAAATAAAAAAAGTTAGTATATTAGCAAAAGAAAATTTATATATATATCAAAACACTTTCAAATTGAAATTACCTTGTTACATCCCCATCGAAGCAATCTAGTTGTATTTATATTTTTGAGCTCTATATATTTTTTAACCCAATCCTACAAAAGTCGACACATATAGTAAAATATTTAAAAAATAACAATTTGTAATCAATAGAAACAAATTTATCAATTAATAAATTGTACCTTTTGACAAATGTGGTTTGATCCATAAGTAACACTATAACAAAATTTCAGGATAAACAATGTTTGTAGTAGAATCTGGCTCATCATTGGGAAGGAGGACACTTATACGATCAAAGGATGTGCATCTAGATAGGGCCACATACAATTGCCCATGACTAAACACTGGTGTGCGCAAATCAACTCCAAAAAATTTCACAGATTGCCCTTGAGATTTATTAATGGTCAGGGCATATGCCAATCAAACTGGAAATTGACGTCTTGTCATTCGGAAAGACATTTTTGAAGAAGACGGTGTCAAGGATATCCTTGGTATGAATACCAAATTGTCACATTTTTCTCTAGTTAAAATTTGAGCTTCAATTATGCGAGTATTGCATTTAGAAACCATCAATCTTGTGCCATTGCATAGTCCATCTTTTGGTGCAATATTTCTTAACAACATTATAGGACAACCCACTTTCAACTCTACCTTAAAAGCCGGTAGCCAAGGAGGATCTAATAAATTTAAATATTCATTAGGATATCTATTTATTATAGTATGATCAATTTCATCATCTTCAGACATCTTGTTTGCTGCCAAATAAGTATGTGTGTTGCCGGGAAAAATATTCAATGCAGCAGTATTGATAGCATTGACATCATCATTCTGTACAAAAAGAATTGTACGTTCAGTTAAAAATGTTGCAGTCGATGTCATTGCCACATCCAGTTGCGGATAAACTACTGAGATTATGTCTTTTAGATCTTGGCATTTGTGTATTGTTGATGGAAGATTAACAATTTCTTGAGGATTGGTCTCAATCTATTTATAAAAATAAATAAATAAAATAGTAAGTAAAATCAATTAAAGTATATAAATGTAAATATATTTCGTTAATTTAAAAGAACCATATAATAGAGAAAAAGTTTGAAGAAATATTACCTCCATCAAGAATTTTGCAAAAATTAGCATTTTCAAGATTTGCATGATTCAAGCGCATGTTCAAATTTAAAGACAGAACATGTATATCCTTCCATAGAAAAGGGTGTCTTAATGATGCATTCACAATTTGCTCACGGACTCCTTTGGTTATAACTGGTAAGATTTGTCGAAAATCTCCACCAAGAACAACAGTGATACCCCCAAATGGCTTTTCACTATCACAAGTGTCCCGAAGTGTGCGATCAACTGCCTCAACACAATGTCTATGCTGCATAGGAACTTTATCCCAGATTATAAGTTTTGTTTCTCTAAACAATTCTACTTGTAATGATTGCTTGCTAAATCCACAAATTGAATTTTCCAATACATCCAACGGAATGAAAAATGTTGAATGAGCAGTACGACCTCCTACCAATAACAATGATGCAATTCCAGACGAAGCCACAGTAATAACAATATGGCCAAGGCTGCGACATTTTAATGCAATCGCATTGTATAAAAACGTTTTCCCTGTTCCGGCACCTCCATTCAAATAGAAAATAGTTCCTTTATTTTCAAAGACTGAGGAAGTGATTGCATCATAAGCTGTTCGTTGATCATTGTTGAGGCGATCAATAATAATTTTTGCATCTGCCTGATGTGCCTCATTATGCAATTGTTGATGTTCGAATATCAACCTGTTACCAATTACTGCACTCCAATTTGTAGAAGGTTGTGGCATTGGCGGGAAGTCAATTAAACTTTTTCCTAATTCTTGGAGCATTTGATTCAAAAGATATAGACTATAGTCTTCAATTTGAGCCTCAGTTGGTTCAGAAATGGCAAACAATGTTCGAATCTTACGTGCAAGATCATCACATATATGCATTGAAAATTGATTCCATAACGCATATGGTTGCAGTGGAGAGCACTGAGTAAGAATAATAGTAAACAATCTCCTTAATTGATAACCAGTTTTCATAACAGCAGCCTCTTTAAGGCATTGTATCCATTCTTCATCATCTTCTAAAAGTCCTCTTGCAACACATGCTGATTTAAACGTATCATGCAAAATATTGTTGACCATGCGTAAACATTGAAACGATTTTGGTCCTTTGACAACAGTTAATAGCAAACGCAAATAAAATCTCTCACCACAATTAAGGCTAGCAAAGTACATTCTACCAATTGCATAGCCCTGCTGCCTTGGTTTTCATCTCTTTTCTGAATTAAGCCAAACAAAATGTTGTGGAAATTCTTGGTAAGTGAATGGACATTCATCTTCCATAGAAGCGCAACATGCAAAAAAACCAGTAAGAGCTGATATTTGTTGGCCAGCTCTAGAAACAATTGCTTCTAATGATTCATCAGGATTAAAAAGAACGCAGTGCATTCCAGGTAAATGAAGTGCTATGTGTACAATTGTTGGTATCTCTGCATGCAATGGATAACCAAATATTCGCCAAGCATCTTCTGGAGGTCCAATATGCCTCGCATCAAGATATTGTTGGATCTCATTTATCAATCCCAACACCATCATTGTACGATCATAACCCTTATAAATGTACTTGTATATATACTTGACACATCTCATTCCGGCACAAACTTTCACATTTATGTGACAGTTGAAACATTTAGAAAGATATGCATTGTATGGTACGATGTCTCTGTTATCAACTTCTTTCCCCCCCACAATATGAGCTTGATCATTATTGCGACGACAATAGATAGGATATCCATCTTGATCCATAGTAGTTGTTTCTGCAAACGCTCGAGGGTATCTCTTAGTGTATTTACCATTTTCCATACATGGTGCTTGTGGATTTCAAGCACCACATGGTCTATATACCATACAACACTTGATAGTTTCAAAAAGCATAGGTTCATCTTTTGGATCTGGAAATTCTGCACAAACCAATTTGTCTACTTGAGCACATGTCCGAATTTTGTTTGGACCCTTAAGAAATAGAAGTGCATGCATATGAGGAAGGCCTCGCTTTTGGAATTCAATTGTAAAAACATGCGCAACTTTATTACCAAACACTTAGTTTGTTTCTATCTCCTTCATCAAGCACTTTCTCTTTAACTCAAAAACATGGGCAATTAAATCAAGATGATCAATAGGCTTTTGGTGTGGTAATAATGCCGAAGTAATTTCTGGCCAATTAGGATTTGCAGTCATGGTGAGAAAAATGTCTGAATGTTGGTTGTATCGTGTGATAGCCTGAGTCTTGAAAGATTTCAAACATATGTCTAGGACCTCCAGGAAATGAAGATGGCAAAACAAACCTTTGCAATTGCCCATGACTAAACACTGGTGTGCGCAAATCAACTCCAACAAATTTCACAGATTGCCCTTGAGATTTATTAATGGTCAGGGCATATGCCAATCGAACTGGAAATTGACGTCTTGTCATTCGGAAAGGCATTTTTGAAGAAGACGGTGTCAAGGATATCCTTGGTATGAATACCAAATTGTCACATTTTTCCCTAGTTAAAATTTGAGCTTCAATTATGCGAGTATTGCATTTAGAAACCATCATTCTTGTGCCATTGCACAGTCCATCTTTTGGTGCAATATTTCTTAAAAACATTATAGGACAACCCACTTTCAACTCTACCTTAAAAGCCGATAGCCAAGGAGGATCTAATGAATTTAAATATTCATCAGGATATCTATTTATTATAGTACGATCAATTTCATCATCTTCAGACATCTTGTTTGCTGCCAAATAAGTATGTGTGTTGCCGGGAAAAATATTCAATGCTGCAGTATTGATAGCATTGACATCATCATTCCGTGCAGAAAGAATTGTACGTTCAGTTAAAAATGTTGCAGTCGATGTCATTGCCACATCCAGTTGCGGATAAACTACTGAGATTATGTCTTTTAGATCTTGGCATTTGTGTATTGTTGATGGAAGATTAACAATTTCTTGAGGATTGGTCCTAATCTATTTATACAAATAAATAAATAAAATAGTAAGTAAAATCAATTAAAGTACATAAACGTAAATATATTTCGTTAATTTAAAAGAACCATATAATAGAGAAAAAGTTTGAAGAAATATTACCTCCATCAAGAATTTTGCAAAATTAGCATTTTCAAGATTTGCATGATTTAAGCGCATGTTCAAATTTAAGGACAGAACATGTATATCCTTCCATAGAAAAGAGTGTCTTAATGATGCATTCACAATTTGCTCACGGACTCCTTTGGTTATAACTGGTAAGATTTGTCGAAAATCTCCATCAAGAACAACAGTGATACCCCCAAATGGCTTTTCACTATCACAAGTGTCCCGAAGTGTGCGATCAACTGCCTCAACACAATGTCTATGCTGCATAGGAACTTCATCCCAGATTATAAGTTTTGTTTCTCTAAACAATTCTGCTTGTAATGATTGTTTGCTAAATCCACAAATTGAATTTTCCAATACATCCAACGGAATGAAAAATGTTGAATGAGCAGTACGACCTCCTACCAATAACAATGATGCAATTCCAGACGAAGCCACAGTAATAACAATATGGCCAAGGCTGCGACATTTTAATGCAATCGCATTGTATAAAAACGTTTTCCCTGTTCCGGCACCTCCATTCAAATAGAAAATAGCTCCTTTATTTTCAAAGACTGAGGAAGTGATTGCATCATAAGCTGTTCATTGATCATTGTTGAGGCGATCAATAATAATTTCTGCATCTGCTTGTTGTGCCTCATTATGCAATTGTTGATGTTCGAATATCAACCTATTACTAACTACTGCACTCCAATTTGTAGAAGGTTGTGGCATTGGCGGGAAGTCAATTAAACTTTTTCCTAATTCTTGGAGCATTTGATTTAAAAGATATAGACCATAGTCTTCAATTTGAGCCTCAGTTGGTTCAGAAATGGCAAACAATGTTCGAATCTTACGTGCAAGATCATCACATATATGCATTGAAAATTGATTCCATAACGTATATGGTTGCAGTGGAGAGCACTGAGTAAGAATAATAGTAAACAATCTCCTTAATTGATAACCAGTTTTCATAACTGCAGCCTCTTTAAGGCATTGTATCCATTCTTCATCATCTTCTAAAAGTCCTCTTGCAACACATGCTGATTTAAACGTATCATGCAAAACATTGTTGACCGTGCGTAAACATTGAAACGATTTTGGTCCTTTGACAACAGTTAATAGCAAACGCAAATAAAATCTCTCACCACAATTAAGGCTAGCAAAGTATATTCTACCAATTGCATGGCCCTGCTGCCTTGGTTTTCATCTCTTTTCTGAATTAAGCCAAACAAAATGTTGTGGAAATTCTTGGTAAGTGAATGGACATTCATCTTCCATAGAAGCGCAACATGCAAAAAAACCAGTAAGAGCTGACATTTGTTGGCCAGTTCTAAAAACAATTGCTTCTAATGATTCATCAGGATTAAAAAGAACGCGGTGCATTCCAGGTAAATGAAGTGCTAAGCGTACAATTGTTGGTATCTCTGCATGCAATGGATAACCAAATATTCGCCAAGCAGCTTCTGGAGATCCAATATACCTCGTATCAAGATATTGTTGGATTTCATTTATCAATCCCAACACCATCGTTGTACGATCATAACCCTTATAAATGTACTTGTGTATATACTTGACACATCTCATTCCGGCACAAACTTTCACATTTATGTGACAGTTGAAACGTTTAGAAAGATATGCATTGTATGGTATGATGTCTCTATTATCAACTTCTTTCCCCCTCACAATATGAGCTTGACCATTATTGCGACGACAATAGATAGGATATCCATCTTGATCCATAGTAGTTGTTTCTGCAAACGCTCAAGGGTATCTCTTAGTGTATTTACCATTTTCCATACATGGTGCTTGTGGATTTCGAGCACCACATGGTCTATGTACCATACAACACTTGATAGTTTCAAAAAGCATAGGTTCATCTTTTGGATCTGGAAATTCTGCACAAACCAATTTGTCTACTTGAGCACATGTCCGAATTTTGTCTAGACCCTTAAGAAATAGAAGTGCATGCATATGAGGAAGGCCTCGCTTTTGGAATTCAATTGTAAAAACATGTGCAACTTTATTACCAAACACTTGGTTTGTTTCTATCTCCTTCATCAAGCACTTTCTCTTTAACTCAAAAACATGGGCAATTAAATCAAGACGATCAATAGGCTTTTGGTGCGGTAATAATGCCGAAGTAATTTCTGGCCAATTAGGATTTGCAGTCATGGTGAGAAAAATGTCTGGATGTTGGTTGTATCGTGTGATAGCCTGAGTCTTGAAAGATTTCAAACATGTGTCTTGGACCTCCAGGAAATGAAGATGGCAAAACAAACCTTTGACCAATTTGATTGGGTTGAAGGTCATTTGGATCAATATCTGTCAAATCTTGGTAAAGTTCAGCACGGATCTTCCATTGATTAAGCTTGTAGTAAGTCAACCTATTTTGTTCAGTTGCAGCCCAAGCATCAACCAAAAACTCTTAGAACAATTTTCCAGCTCTCAAAATTGTTGAATACTCTGTGGATCGTTCAAACAAACGATAACTATAAAAATCCATTTGAGTAAGCTGATCAGTTGAAGGCCGATCACGTTCAACATCCCACAGTTTCATCTTAGGTTCCCACCCAAGCTCACCATGTGGAAATAATAAAACATAATGTAACGGCAAATATGCTGGGTGACATTCATTGATTTGCATTAGCTCATTATTTCCATGTAGATGTAAGATAGCATCTCTCATTCCACTAACCTTGGTTCCATCACCTGGTATTACAACTGCAATCTCATCTATAGTTGGTAGGTTGTACCGTCGTCGATCTGTCGATGAACTGTAGTGGAAATGAGTAGGCAAATTTCGTCCTGTCAAGGCTAATTGATTCAAAATTGCATGAGCTTGGTGAAATTTATCAACGAATGCATTAACCTATAATAAACTATCTTGAATAGTTTTTAGAACATCTCTTCCTAATTGAGGATTTCTATGATTGCAAACTTCTAAAGCTGAATCAGGGTCATAAATGTACAATTGTACATAAGCTGCATCTTGCCCTGATTATGGTAGTAGTGATCCTGTTCGATGTCGCAATTCCCCATGGATAGTGAATGATGTAGGGCCTCTTCCAGTAAGTACTCTTGGATCTAATGTAGCACCAAGACTTGTAAAAGCATTGGTTGCATTGTACACTCGAGTATAACGTCGAAACGATTTTGATTTATCATCATTCCCATCATATAATGCTTGAAGAAGTGAAGGGGGTGTAATAAGCAGAGGAAGCTTAACCTTCCCTTTTGAACAACATGTTCCGAATAGAGGACGGTTTGGAGATGATTTTACTAATTTTTCATCCATCCAATGTAATGCTGAACAGAAAGGATATAATACATCCATCTTGCCAAGAGAATGACGACATGAATTTATATGTGCTTGAGTACCAACCATTGGACTCATAGACATATTCTCTAATTCCTCATTAGTACATAGATCCTCTTGAAGGAAAGGAGTTGTAAGAGTAGGCCTACAAATATTGGTAGGTTGTAAATTAAAATAGAATGGTAATAGTAAGAGTATGTATTTGAAGAATTAAACACAGTCTTTTACCAATTCCTTTGTGGAGCTAAAGATGTGCTTGGCATTGAGAACGAACATGTGGAAGGATGTGCAACCATTGTTCGTTTTTGCGCCAACTGAGTATCCTTAGTTGCCTTTGTTCCTAGTTCCAAGCAAGCACGACTACGACGACACAGTATTAAAGAAGTTTGCCTTGGTTGAATACATTCTCTTAATTTTTCCCGTTCTCGTCGTGCACGTTAGGCCAATGTAGCTTTTGATATAACATTGTTATTGTGTGCCTAAAATGTGAACATTATATCATTGATACCTAAAATACAAATATTATCGTATACTATTTTATTTCTTTTTTTTCCTGCCTTGTGATAATTTTAAGAATATTTTTATATTTTTACATTTCTTCCTTTTCCATTTTGCTTCATTTTCCCTCTTCATGCCTTGTGATATAACAATTTGTTTTTTAATAATTGTTTTCTCTTTCTTCTTGCCTCATGATGATTTTAAGAAAATTAAAAATATTTTCTATGCCTATGTTCCTCTGTTCCTCTGTTCCTTTGCTTAAATGTTATAAAGTTTTTCTTGGAGTTGATAAATGTTACAATTATTTTTAGGAAATGTAAAAGAGAGCTAAAAATACTTTGTTTGAGTGTTCAAAAAACAAAGAGCACACAAAAAAAATTGGCAACACAGTTTACATTTTTAAAAATATACATGATCAATGTTCACTTAAACAATATGATTGGCTTTGTTTTACTCGGTAAATATTATTTTAAAGATGTTGAATGTATACCATTGGACATGTGTTTTCCTTTCCTTTGTCAAAGAAGTTGCCTTTTCTTTTCCTTTACACATTGCCTTGCCTTGCCCTTTTCCTTTTCCTTTGCCTACCAAAAATAAATAAAATTTATTTAGAACACAAAAAAGAACATGTATTTATAGAATTTATTAAGATTACGAAAAAAGAATATGTTGAACTTGATATTTATACTTACCTTAGAATTGCGGATAATATTAAGATTGCACTCATCACGAACAACAACACCGATATTCCTAGTCTCATGGAGGAATGGGCTTGCATGGGTAGGCCTACAAATATTTGTTGTGTACAAAATAAAATTTATAAAATAAAATCTTAACAATAAGAATATGTATTTGTAGAAATAAATATAATGTTTTACCAATTCCTTTGTGAAGCTGAAGATGTGCTTGGCGAAGTAAGATGTGTAAACATTACTCCTTTCTGAGCCTGTGGAGTATTAGTCGTGCTTGGTGGAATCAATTCTCTTGATCTCTCTCGTTCACGTCGTGAACGTTGTCCCAATTGAAATGAAGAGCTTGCCTTATCATTTCTTTCGCGTTCTCGCCGTGCACGTTGAGCCAATGCAGCTTTCAAAATAACATTATTGTTATGTGCCTAAAACATGAAGATTAATTTCATAAGATGCCTAAAATATGAATATTATCATCTACTATTTTATACTTTTCTCTTCATTTTTCATTTCTATTAATTTACTTTATCTTAATTCCCTTTCCTTCTGATATTTTGTAAAAAAATTGAAAACTTTTTCATTCTGTATTCCTCCTCCCCTCATTCCTTTTTTGTTCTATTCCTTTTTTCTTCTCTTGTAGATGTTAATGTCAATAGCAAAAATCCAAAAAGAATAATAATAATTTAAAACAAATATAATGTTTTTGTACAATTATTATTTTAGCATGCTTCAAAAAAAACATTTCACAAATTTATATGAAACTGTTTACTATAAGAACAGTATATGTCACTGTGCAAGCAGTATGTCAATTTTACATTTAAGAAAATAAAAATAAATAATCAAGGTTCATGGTCCAAAATAAATATTTCAAAAAAAGAACTTTAAATGGAAATATTGAAGAGCCATACTACTGAACATGTATTTTCCTTTCCCTTGCCCGAAATGGTGGTATTTTCGTTTTTCTTCAACAATGCCTTGGCAATTTCCTTTTCTTTTGCCTACAAAAAATACAGAAAATGTTTAAAGAATAAAGAAAATATATATATGTAGAAAGTTTTTAAAATATATATAAATAAGAATATACGGTGTATACGGTGTTTTGAATAAAAAAAAATCTATATAATTAAATTGGGCCTACGTCTCAAACACGGATGACATTAAAGGTCACGCTTATCACGGATAACAACATTAACATTTCTTTCTTGAAGAAATTGGACCTAAAAATACAAAAGAATTAGAGGTAAAAAAAAAATAAAAAAATTATACATGCAAGAAAATGAGTAAAAGGAGCCAGTATTACAGTTCGACGTAGGTCTCCATCCATCTATAAATTATAAGAAAAGAGCATTTTGTCATAAGGAATTAGATAAAAAATTATGAAAAGAAAAGAAAATTGACTTTTGCTTATAAGAAATTTTTTTTTTTCAAATAAATAAAAAAGAAAACAACTTATGTGACCAAAAATAGTAATGTTGTCCATAATCAACGGTTGAAGGTTAATGGTGTCTCAACCTGAAAGTGCCTGGTTATGTAAATTTGACAAAGATAACTATATGAAGGAAAAATGAGATTTAATAATTGCCATAAAGAAAAATTAGTCGCTACAAAACTAACAACCTCCTAACATATTATAGTTAACAACCTAGTTTAAGAAGTTCGTTTGTGCATGAATATCACAGATGGAGAAATTGACCTACTACAGGATAGAAGAAAAATTATAATTTTTTTATGTCTTCAATATACATTAAAAAGGATAGAAGAAAAATTAAATACTCTCATAGAAATCTTCATAATTTTTCTCTATTGGCCAAAATGTAGAACTATTGTAATACATGATTTTGTGGTTGATTCTATATAGTAACTTTGCACTGACAAAGGTTAATTCTTATGGATTGTATTGCCCATTTTTCCTACTAACAACTAAGTAAATTATAAAAAAATATAAATTATACTAATGAATAAAATTTTAGCAAAACTTAATTACTAAATTTGCATTTTAAAATGTGAAAACAAAATAAGTAAAAAACTACAATAAAAATTTATAAAAGGGCTCACCACGCTGTAACTGGAAAATTACAAATACCTTTTGTATTATCTGTATAATTGCAAATGCCTTTTTCAAAAAAGTATACTACACAGTAGCTTATTTACTCCAAGGAGTAATACTCTCATAAAATCATTAAAAAATTATTGAAACAAATTTTTAAAATAAGTTTATGTTTTTTCAGAAGTCTTTTTTTTTGTTTGAAAAATTCCAAAAATAAAATTGAAAAAGCTAAATAAATTGGACTCTTTTTAAAGAGAGAGAAGCCTAAGCATTTTAAAATAGCAGTTCAATAAAAAACCAAATTAAAAACAATTCACTAAAAACAAAAAAAAAATAAGGGTTATCAAATAAAAAGGGTTAACTTTTTAATGTTCCCTTTTCCTTTCAATCAACAAATTCCCTTCAAATCCTAAATCCAAATACAGCCTAAGAGAGATGGAAAAAAAAAAAAAAAGACCTATCATATTACAAAATTAAACTGTAACAAAAACTTTGTAAAAATTTGGAAAAAAAAAAAAAGAATAGTTGTTCAGGCCCAGAAGTTAGACTTATTTTATAGGTCCAGTGACATGTTAAGAAGAGGATTTAATTATCAACCAATCATCTTCTTAACACATCACTGGGTCTATAAAATGGGTATAAAAAATGAACTTGTATATCATTATTTAAAAAAAAAGAAAAGACATAAGTATTCACATAATTCATCATACATTCCAAAAAAAAAAGTATTCTCTAGAAATTGAACAGCTATATATCAAGATACATAACTATACACACTATATTAGACTTCTTTCTAAACCAAACATTAAAAGCTTAATGTGTAATCTAATTATTGAAAATTCGAAAACCAAACATGAAAATTCCAGGGCATTAAAGAAATCTAAGAGAGTTCATTCATTAATCCAGAACATTCATTAACCCACTGCAATTTGAAAAAGAAAGCAAGGAACTAATAAAGAATTGCAAGGGAGAGACTTCCTAACTTGAGTATTTGCTTGGGAAGCAAAATTAAAGGAATCAGAGACAGAAGGATAAAAAGAAAAACACAATTAGTGAGAGCACTCCTCAACACTAAAAATGTACACGAATATATTTTCATATTTGACGAATAACAATAATGACCGTTAATGATTAATGAAAACCTCAACCCATTTGATTAAGATGAAATAAAAATGATTGTTGACACGAAATATAACTGTAAGAAGGCAGAATGAGATTTAATAATTGCCATAAAAAACAATTAAAAAGTGTTTTTTTTAAAAAAAATTCCAAAATTAATATTTAAAAAGCTAAATTTTTAGAGAGAGAGAAGCATAAACATTTTAAAATAGCAGTTCAATTAAAAAAATCAAATTAAAAACAGTTCACTAGAAGCAAAAAAAAAGGGTCATCAAATAAAAAGGGTTAACTTTTTAATGTTTCATTTTCCTTTCAATCAACAAATTCCCTTCAAATCCTAAATCCAAATACAACCTAAGCCAGATGGGAAAAAACAAAAAAGAAAAAAAAAGACCCATCATATTACAAAATTAAACTGTAACAAAATCTTTGTAATAAATAAATAAATAATAGTTATTCAGGCCCAAAAGTTAGACCTACTTTAATGAATCAAGAATCAACCAAAAGTTATTCAGGCCCAAAAGTTAGACCTACTTTAATAAATAAAGAATAGTTATTCAGGCTCAATGATATGTCAAGAATCAACCAATCATCTTCTTGACACATCACTGGGTCTATAAAGTGGGTATAAAAAATGAACTTGTATATCATTATTAAACAAAAAAAGAGACATAAGCATTCACATAATTCATCATACATTCCAAATATTTAAAAAAAAAAACTTAAGTATTCTCTAGAAATTTAACAGTTATATACCACAATACATAACTATACACACTATATTAGACTTCTTTCTAAACCAAACATTATTTTCATCGTGCCTTCAGGCACGAGCATACCCAAGTACACACTATATTAGACTTCTTTCTAAACCAAACATTAAAAGCTTAATGTTTAATCTAATTATTGAAAATTCGAAGACCAAACATGAAAATTCCAGAGTATTAAAGAAACCTGAGAGAGTTCATTCATTAATCCAGAACATTCATTAACCCACTGCAATTCGAAAAAGAAAGCGAGGAACTAATAAAGAATTGCAAGAGAGAGACTTCCTAACCTGAGTATCTACTTGAGAAGCAAAATTAAAGAAATCTGAGATAGAAGGATAAAAAGAAAAACACAATTAGTAAGAGCACTCCTTAACACTAAAAATGTACATGAATCTATTTGCATGTTTGACGAATAAGAATATGACCATTGATGATTAATGAGAACCTCAACCCATTTGATTAAGATGAAATAAAAATAATTGCTGACATGAAATATAATTGTCAGAATGCAGAATGAGTTTTAATAATTTCCATAAAGAAAAATTAAACGACACTGAATTAACAACCTCATAACATATTTTAGTTAACAACCTATTTTAAGAAGTTCATCATTGCATGAATATCACAGATTGGGAAATTGAACTACTACAGGATAGAAGATAAATTATAATTTTTTAATGTCTTTAATATACATTAAAAAGGATAGAAGAAAAATTAAATATTGTCACAAAAATCTTCATAATTTTTCTCTATTGGCCAAAATGTAAAACTATCGCAATAAATGATTTTGTGGTTGATTCTATATAGTAATTTTGCATTGACAACAGTTAAATTCTTATGGATTGTATTGCCCACTTTTCGTACTAACAACTAATATATACCACACAAAAAAAGGCAAAATAAAATTTTAACAAAACTTCAATATAGAAATTTAATTACAAATTTTGCATTTTAAAATGTGAAAAAAAAAAAAGAAGAGTAAAAGGCTACAATAAAAATTTATAAAAAGTCTCACTACACTGTAACTGGATAAGTACAAATATATTTTGCCTTATAAAAAGTCTCATTTTCCTTCCTTTTTCTCACATACCAAACAACAATGCATAAGATTCAAACTTCATTTTTCTCTTTCTCTCAACAATCAACTGCCAAATTTAAGAGAGAGAGAGAGAGAGAGAGAGAGAGAGAGAGTCTAAAAAAACAGAGATCGAAGTACTAACCAGAGCATCAAGAAACAATCTGTAAGTAAGAATAAAACACAATCAGAAATCAAATAAAAAATTGAAAAAGAACAAAAATAAAAAATCACAAAAATAAAAAATTCTGACAAACCGTCATTTTGTCAACCCATATTTGGTGAGTAAAAATATGACTATTGATAATTAAATAAAGTCTCAACCCATATAACTAAGATGAAATAAAAATGATTCTTAATTTGAAATCCATTTTTCCTTAACCCCCATTTGATAGAGAGAAAAAAGTGGGTGTTGAAACCTAATTGATTATTAAACAAAAAAACACAATACAGAATTTCATTTTGTATTTTGAGACATTTGATAAAAATTGTAAAATGTTCAACATTTTTGTTTTTGCTATTAAAGCTCATCCTCAACAGCAGCATTTAATAGATTATAGGAATTATTATCACCAAAAACAGGGTGCAAAATAAAATGGGCTTTGGATAGTGCAACAAAATAAAACAAGATACAAACAGCCCTATAACCCATCATATTTTTAACCCATTTCAATATTTACAAAATAGAAAGACACCCTATAATGTTTCAATTTTAGTGTGGTCCGAATATAATTGTCATTGGTAGGGTTCAATGAGATTTTTGCTTCAAGATTTTTTTTTAAAGAGAGTCTCAACTCATAAGATGAAATAAAAATGATTCGTAACATGAAATCCATTTTTCCTTAACCCCCATTTGATAAAGAGAGAGAGAGAGAAGTGGGTGTTGAAACCCAATTGATTATTAAAGAAAAAAAACACAATACAAAATTTTATTTTGTATTTTGAGACATTTGAGACATTGGATAAAATTTTAAAAATTCTGACAAA